TGCGTCTACTACTACTACTACTACTACTACTACTACTACTACTACTACTACTACTACTACTACTACTACTACTACTACGACTCTGACTACTACGGCGACGACGACGACGACGACTACTACTACTCCTACTTCTACTAATACTAATACTAATACGAATATTAATTCTACTACGACTGGGCTGGCGGTATTGTTTGAGGCGAGAGGGAAGCAGAAATTGGGAGGATTGGGGGGGAGGGAGGGGGAGGGAGGACGGAAGAAACGGAAGAGGAGGAGGATGGAGGGAGAGAGGTAGGGAAAGAGGTAGGAGGAGGGAGAGGCGGGGACGGAGAAAGGAGGAGGGCCGGTGCAGGGAGGGAAAGAGGGCAACACCAAGAAGCCGGAAACACACACGGTTGGATTCACATGTTTGCTCCTTGTTCCGCTGTATGCTGCGACACTTCTCTGATCAAGGCGACTCGCCTGGGCATTGTTTCTGGGTGGGCGGGTGGGGAAACGCGATACAGGAGACGGACCCGAGGCCTTCGGTGCAGACCCCATGTGGACTTGCCTCGAAACCGTCGGTGAAGCTAACTGGGGCCACAAAACATGTGAGGGGTGTACCGAAATATGCCCGAAGCATTCGGTGGAGCCCCCTGTGGGGCCACGAAGCATGTGAGGTGTGTGCCGAAATTGACCCGAATCCTTCGGTGAAGCCCACTGGGGCCACAAACCGTGAGGGGTGCGCCGAACTGGACCCAAAGCCTTCGGTGGAACCCACTGGGCCACGAAGCGTGTGAGGGGTGGTCGGAATTTGTCCGAAACCTTCGGTGAAGCCCGATGGGGCCACGAAACATGTGAGGGGGTGTGCCGAACTGCACCAGAGCCCTTCGGCGGAGCCCCAAAGCGTGTGAGCGGTGTGCCGAAATTGTCCCGAATCAGTCGGTGAAGCCAGCTGGGGCCACGAAACGTTTCAGGTGTGCGCCGAACTGGACCCGAGGCCTTCGGTGGAGCCCCCTGTGGAACCACGAAGCGCGTGAGTGTTCTTAACCCCCCTTCTTCCCCCTCGGGGAGGGGTTTACCCCTCCCCCGACCCCCTCCCCCTGGACCTGGAGAGTGGGTTTCGCGGGTGGTCAGAGGGTCCTTTTTCGACTCCTGGGAAGGCTAAAATTCGACACCCCTCACGAGGATCGTGGCCCCGACGGGGGCACTGACAAAAATGCTAGCCCCAGCTGTGATCGATCGCCCGAAAGATGGCCACAATATACCTCCCAGACCCCTCCCAAAGAGCCCCAAGAGGCCCCAAGAGGCCTCCAAGAGGCCCCCAAGAAGCCTTTTTTTTCCTCTCCCCAAAGCCCCCAGCGGATCCCGCCACAGGGCTCGTCCACCGCAGACTGCGGCCAGCCTCAGGCCTGATTGGCCTGGTCCAGCTGGTTGCCCTCCAGCTCGGACTTCACGTTCACGATGCTCACATAGTTGAACGCCCCCCTCTGCAGCTTCTGGAGCTGCTCCTCAAGCGCCTCGCCGAGCTGGCAGGACGGCGCCCTGCTCCATCGGCTTGCCATTCTGCGGGTTCTTACCCGCCAGAATCCTGCCCCGCTTCTTCCTCTTCGCGTCGTCCTTGGTGGACCGCCCACGGGGCGCCAGCGGGCCTGGGCAGGCAGCCCCGAGACCCGCCCGACGCCTTGCCGAGTGAGCCCCGCACACCACGCACACCACGCACGGCCCATGGGCTTCCACACGATGCGGCCTGCCCTGCACCTCAGGCACAGCATGTACTTCGTGTTGTTATCCAGGCCGTGCTGCTGCTGGTGCTGCTGCAGCTGCGGCCTCCGCTGCGATGGCTACGCTGGCCTCCAGCGAGCTGCCTGCCCCCGCGCTGCGCGCGCCTGTTGCCTGCCAGAGTGGTCGCACGCATTCCGCCTGCCACATCTGCAGGCGCATCCTCTTGGACGCCGCACGAAAGCCACACCTCATGCACACCTGCCAGCCTCCCTTCTCCACAACGTCGTGCTCGGTCAGGGTCAGCATCGGCTTCGGCACTCTTCGCCTCGGCACACCTTTCTCTTTGGGCGGCACGTCTGGCCACGTGCCGCCCATCTTTTGGTACCACCAACCAATGTTCTGCAGCGCCCAACGTACTCGCCCTGCAAGGTCCTCCAGCGCTTGGTGCTTGCCGTAGTGTGCGTCCCCGCGCCCACCTTTGCCAGCAGGTCCACCTCGCCGTTGCCCTTCGCAATCGCCAGGTCCTCGCCCTCGAGCTGCCCGATCCTGCTCTTGGACCTGTGGGCCTTTACGTGCTTCACGCAATGAATGTCCAGGTCCAGGTCCTTCACCTTATGCCAGATCCTTCGCCACAGGTCTGCATGTGGGCGCTTCCAGCTCGTGCACCACCGCTCTCCTCTCTGCAAGCCTTCCACGATGCCTCTGTGGTCCGTGTAGACGTGCCCTGGCGGCAGCATCCGTTCCAGCACCTTGAGGAAGGCCCGCATCTCGGCTTTCTTAACACTCCTGTGGATCGGTAGCGAGCACGGCAGCGGACCCCACATCTGCATCTTCGCGGCGCCGCTGTCGTTGAGGGACATCGCTGCCCAGCCCGTCTGCGCCCAGTCGCTGTATCCGAGCTTCGGGCCGTCGCAAACGATGTCGCCTGCGAAGTAGTCCTCCTCACCGTCGACCACTTGTCCGTAGTACTGGTCCTCCTCGATTCCCACAAACTTCCAGTCCGCCTCTGGCGACCTCACCAGCCCGCGCGTCCACAGCATGTTGGCGTCCTGCTGCTCCGCCACGTGCTGCCAGTCCGCCTGCGCCTGCAACCTCTGGCTCCTAAGCGCATGGCACTTGTAGTACCGATGATGCTCGGTGCCCACCGCCTCTCCGCAGGCCAAGCAAATGTCCGCGGGTGCGATGTTGCACCTGCACAGCTTCTCCATAGCCCACGCACCTCCGACGAAGACCTTCTTCGCCGCATTCCTCGCATGTTTCGGGAAATCACGTGCTCGTAGCTGCGCGACTGCTGGCGCCAGCAACGGCATTGGGCTCAGGCTCTTGAACTCCTCCGCCTGCGCCCACCCCTCCCAGAGGGTTGCCTGCACGTCCTTGCGCACCATCGCCGCGATGTCCATGGGGCACACCCTCCTGCATGTTCAGCACGAAACCCTCCTTTGAGACGAAAGTGTGCCACGGAGGCCATGTCCACGTAGCCCTCCTCATTGACATGATGACTGCCCCTGCTGGACCTCGCACTCGGGCCCAAGCAGGCTTCATACCGACCTCCTGCTGCTGCCGCCTCCATGCCTGCTACAACATGGTGGCTACGTTATCCCGTTGACCTCCCCCATCCTCGTCATGTACGCCATGCCATACTGCCCGCGCCCACCTAACTACGGGCGCCTCTGTGACCTCGTATGTAGGCTCCTCCTGCGCCACTGCCAGCTGCAAGGTGAGGCTGCGAGCTCCTCGTCCCCCTGGAAATAATCTCCCTGCCTCTCGCCGTAGCTGTCGAAGCTGGTGGTCTGGCATGCCCAAGCACTCGCACCCATGCATAACCGAGCGCTTCAGGCAACACTTCTACACCAAGCAAACCCCCTCGGTCATTTTTCGCCCGCCCTTTAGAGCGAGCAACCTGCGACTCCTGACCTTCATGACAGCGTGCCTTTTTGCCGCTCTTGGTCTCCACCGCCGTGCCGTGCGTGACGATGTCGACCCCCAAGTATGGACATGCCTTCACCACTGGCATACCTCGCTCCTGCATCGGCCCTGTCACAGCCCTCCGCGCCCACTTGGTGCTCGCCATCACTGCACCTTTGCCCTTGCTGCCCACGGAGAACTTCAGTGACTTCAGGCCTAGCCTCTCGAATCCTCGGAAGCAACTGTCAATCGTCTCTCCGAACTCCGTGACTATGTGCCTATGCTGCTGTCGCAGCCGTAAGCACAGGCCGCCCACGTACATCCTCCAGCGCGCCCTCGGTCTTTCGACCACCAGGCCATCCACCGTGGGTTGTATGACCATCTTCAGGAAACATACCGAGAACTTGCTACCCGCGATGATGGTGGTGACCGTCTCTGTCTCACTGGACACTGAGTCCCCTACGATGAGGCGCCTGGACATGGCGAAGTATGAGCACACCACCGCCAGCACCCCTGTGTTGAACTTGAGCTGCTTTCCCGCTTCCCACAACACGTGCAAGCTGACCTTCTCAAAGGCCTTTACCAAGTCCAAAACGGCCGTGACCGTCGCCTGCGTCTCCTCGCTCTGCTCCTCGACATCGTCCATCTCGTGGCTGAGCAACACCTCCCAGGCCGCGTCCTCCGCCGCATTACCGTAGCTCGTGCAATCCCAGCTCCGATAGTTCTTCTTGGCCCACTCGACCATGTACGGCTCTCGCATAATCTCCCACACCCTGATGGCGGTGGGCAGAAGCCCGATGACCCTGTCCGTGGTGTAGGTCTTCGGGATCATGAAGAATAGCACAATACCCATGTGGATGGGCCAGCGCAGCGTCCGCTCCACCTCCACGTAGACGCCCAACAGCTTGACGTAGGCCTCGTCCGACGCACCCTGCAGCATAGAGGGGTGCCACCTGTCGACTCCGACCCCCGTCTTTTTCCTGAAGGTGCGCGCTACCTCCTTAAGCTTGTCGACGTCCTGGCCTGTGAAGGGCTCGAGTTTGTCACGCTCTTCGCGCTCCCACGGCCGCTCCACCTTCTGGATCTGCTCGCCGACCCTCCAGACCACTTTCCACTCGTCGAGGGTGTACTCAGCTGCCCCGATGGGGCCCGCCGAGTCCTCCATGGAGCCTGCCCTACGCGGTCTCCATACTGATGCAGCCTTGCTCAACTTGTGTAGACCACCCGCTGCTCCTGCTGCCGCCTCCTGCAACCTGTCTGCCCAGCGTGCTCGCCTCTCCTTGAGTAGCTTCTGGTCGTACTCCTTCATCTTGCCCTGGCTCTCCTGCATCCATTGCTGCAACTTTGCTTCCTGATGCGCTCCTCGGAGTAACCCAGCAGCCAGCAGTCCGCACCTGGCCTGCCACCTCCCCTGCTCCTTTGCGTTGAGGTGCTTGGTCCTCCGATGCGTGATGATGAACTCGTGTTCCTGCGCAATTGCCTCCTTCTGTCGGCGCCTCTGAATGTCTCCATTTCTCGCCGTCTTGAGCCTCGTGTATGCCCTTGCCCCCCAAGAAGCCCCCAAGAGGCCCCCAAGAGGCCCCGAGAGGCTCCACCGAGGCACCCAAGACGCTCCTGGAAGCCCCTGGGGCCGCCAAGAGGCCCCCAAGACGCCCCAAACGGCATCCAAGAGGCCCCCAAGAGGCCCGAAGAGGCTCCCCCAAGGCACCCAAGGCGCTCCTAGAAGCCCCTGGGGTCGCCAAGAGGCCCCCAAGACGCCCCAAAAGGCCTCCAAGAGGCTCCCAAAAGACATCTACGACTACTACTACTACTACTACTACTACTACTACTACTACTACTACTACTACTACTACTACTACTACTACTACTACTACTACTACTACTACTACTACTACTACTACTACTACTACTACTACTACTACTACTACTACTACTACTACTACTACTACTACTACTACTACTACTACTACTACTACTACTACTACTACTACTACTACTACTACTACTACTACTACTACTACTACTACTACTACTACTACTACTACTACTACTACTACTACTACTACTACTACTACTACTACTACTACTACTACTACTACTACTACTACTACTACTACTACTACTACTACGACTACGACTACGACTACCTACTACTACTACTACTAACTACTACTACTACTACTACTACTACTACTACTCATGCTGCTGCTGCTGCTACTACTACTACTACTACTACTACTACTACTACTATACTACTACTATACTACTACTACTACTACTACTACTACTACTACTACTACTACTACTACTACTACTACTACTACTACTACTACTACTACTACTATCTACTACTACTACTATCTACTACTACTACTACTACTACTACTACTACTACTACTACTACTATTACCACTACTACTACTACTACTAACGACTGCTACGACTACTACGACTACGACTACGAACAACTACTACTACTACTACTACGGTAACTACTACTACTACTACTACGACTACGACTAAGACTACGACTACGAACTACGACTACGACTACGACTAGGACTATTAGCTACTACCTACGACTATTACTGACTACTACTACTACTACTACTACGACTACTACTACTACTACTAACCACTACTACACTACTACTACTACTACACTACTACTACTACTACTACTACTACTACTACGACTACTACTACTACTACTACTACTACTACTACTACTACTACTACTAACTACGACTACTACTACTACTACTACTACTACTACTACTACTACTACTACTACTACTACTACTACTACTACTACTACTACTACTACTACTACTACTACTACTACTACCACTACTGCTACTACTACTACTACTACTACTACTACTACTACTAGCACTAGTACTACTACTACTACTACTAGTACTACTACTACTACTACTACTACTACTACTACTACTACTACTACTACTACTACTACTACTCCTATCCTTATTCCTTATTAGAATATACTCCGACTCCCCCCTTCAGGCCGGCAGATAGGGGCCGCATCCGGGTGGTCCCATCCTAACCTGTAAAAAACAATACAAAATCAAAATTGTTCTAATTTTTTCCTCTCGACATGGACGTCCTGTCGTCCACGGCGATAATCCATTGCAAAAAATACCACAAAGAGCACACGCGCGCGTTCATGTCAGAATCCTACCGAACACCGTGTGTTTGCAAGCATTTCAACATAAAAACATCAAAAACCCTCTGCCTTTTTCACAAAAATTCTACAAATGTCCTGCCCGGCTCTCTTGCTGAAATCATCGGAAAACCATAGGAATCTTAAGAATTCGGTCAAATCCAGCGATTTGGCGTCATCGCGCGGTGCACTCGCGATGCTCTGTCATGCACCCAGGCCGCGAATCCTGTGCAAAAAATACCACGCGGGCGACATGCGCGCGCGTCGCCGCGAGCGCATGCTCAAATCCTTCTAGAGTCGTCGCCGTCACTGGCACCGTCGCATGGACGTCCTGTCGTCCACGTCGCAAAATGCATAGCAGGAATGGGACGCGGCGCGCACCCCGCGCCCGCCCATCCAATCCGTCCCATTCTAATCTGCAAAAGACAATACACAGTTTTTGTTTTTCTTGTCAACATGGTCGTGCTGTCGTCACGTCGCAAAATGCGTGGCAGGAATGGGACGCGGCGCACACCCCGCGCGAAGGGGTGACATGTCGCTCTCGCCTCGGCGCCGCGCACCAACGTTTTTCCTCTCAGCATGGACGTCCTGTCGTCCACGTCGCAAAATGCTTGGCAGGAATGGGATGCGGCGCACACCCCGCGCCCGCCCATCCAAACCCCCCCTTTATAAAAAAACAATACAAGTTGGGGCCTTCTGGCTTCCTGCGGTGTACCGGGCCATTCTCGACTCGTCTGGCAATGCGTGCGCGGCATTCAACACGCGCTCGCCAGTTCCCGTCGGCAACCGCCATCGCGGCCGCATCAGCTGTACCAAACCGGCTGGCCGGTGTGACTTCGGCCCCCAGTTGTGCCAGCTTTGCTTCTTATGTTGTGGGAGGGCGGGTGGGACTGGGCATGCCATGCTTGACTCGCTCGAGCTGGCTAGCTTGACTCCTACTCCTACTCCCTTACTACTACTACTACTACTACTACCACTACTACTACTACTACTATTACTACTACTACTACTACTACTACTACTACTACTACTACTACTACTACTACTACTACTACTACTATTACTACTATACTACTATTACTACTACTACTACTACTACTACTACTACTACTACTACTACTACTACTACTACTACTACTACTACTACTACTACTACTACTACTGCTCCTCCTACTACGAGGGGCCCGAACGACTTGCACCAGGACGAGGTGCCCGAACGCCTCACGCCACGAGGAGCCCGAACGACTCACACCAGGACGAGGGGCCCCAACGACTCACACCACGAAGAGCCCGAATGACTCACACCACAAGGAGGGGCCCGAACAACTCACACCAGGACGAAGCGCCCGAACGACTCACACCACGAGGAGCCCGAACGACTCACACCACGACAAGGGCCCCGAACGACTCACACCACGAGGAGCCCGAACGAGTCACACCAGGAGGAGGGGCCCGAACGACTCACACCAGGACGAGGGGCCCGAACAACTCACACCACGAGAAGCCCGAACGACTCACACCAGGACGAAGAGCCCGAACGACTCACACCACGAAGAGCCCGAACGACTCACACCAGGAAGAAGGGCCCGAACGACTCACACCAGGACGAGAAACCCCAAACGACTCAAACCACGAGGAGCGCTTTCTCTCCCTCCTCCTCCGCCTCGTCCTTCTCCCGCTCCCACCACAAGGAGGATGTACAAGGAGGCGGGAGGAAGGAGGAACAGGGGAGATATGCGGGGGCAGGCGGAAACACGCCTGAAAAACACGACTGTCGGCATGCTTCGCAAGAGTTGCTGGTTTGAGATGGGCTGGTGGGGATACGCGAAGCGTGAAGAATTAAACCAAAACCTTCGGTGAACCTCACTGGGGCCACGAAACGTGTGAGGGCTGTGCTGAAATGAGCTCAATGCCTTTGGTGGAGCCCCCCGTGGGGCCACGAAGCGTGTCATGGGGTGTGCCGAAGTTGACCCGAAACCTTCGGTGAAACCCACTGGGGCCACGAAACGTGTCAGGGGTGTGCCGATCTGGACCCGAGGCCTTCGGTTCAGCCCCCTGTGGACTTGACCCGAATCCTTCGGTGGATCTCACTGCGGCCACGAAACGTGCGAGGGCTGTGCCGAAATGGGCCCGAAGCCGTCGGTGGAACCCCCTGTGGGGCCACGAAACGTGCGAAGGGTGCGCCGAAATGGACCCGAGGCCTTCGGTGGAGCCCCCTTGTGGGGGCACGAACCGTGTGAGGGGTGTGCCGAAATTCGCCCTAAACCTTCGGTGAAGCCAACTGGGGCCATGAAGCGTGGGAAGGGTGTGCCGACATTGGCCCGAAACATCTGGTGAAACCCACTGGCGCCACGAAATGTGTGAAGGATGTGCCAAAATTGGCCCGAATCCTTCGGTGAAACCAACTTGGACCAGGGACCGTGAGGTGTGCCGAAATTGGCCGAAACCTTCGGTGAAACGTATGAGGGGCGAGCCGAACTGGACCCGAGGCCTTCGGCGGAGCCCCCTGTGGGGCCACGAAGCGTGTGAGGGTGCGCCTAAGTGGACCCGAGGCCGTCGGTGAAGCCCCCTGTGGAACCACGAAGCGTGTGAGGGCTGTGCCGAAATTTAACCAAAACCTTAGGTGGAGCCCACTGGGGCCACGAAACGTGCGAGATGTGTGCCGAAACTGACCCGAAGCCTTCGGTGAAACCCACTGGGGCGACGAAACGTGGGAGGGGTGTGCCGAATTGGTCCCGAGGCCTTCGGTGAAGCCCCCTGTGGACTTGACCCGAAACCTTCGGTGAATCTCACTGGGGCCACGGAACATGTGAGGGGTGTGCCGAAATGGGCTCAAAGCCTTTGGTGGAGCCCCCCGTGGGGCCACGAAACATGTGAGGGGTGTGCCGAAATTGACCCGAATCCTTCGGTGAAGCCCACTGGGGCCACGAAACGTGTGAGTGGTGCGCCGAACTGGACCCGAGACCTCCTGGGGCCCCTGTGGGATCCCTACAGAACCTCATGGGATTCCTTTGGAATCCCTACAGAACATCATGGGACCCCTATGGAATCCGTACGGAACCTCATGGGGTCACCTATGGAATCCCGTGCAGACCCGATTGGCCCTTCTCGGGCCCCGGGCCCCGTCGTTTTGTTGCTCGTTGTTCGCCACCCCCCCGCACCTTGTGCCTGGCAGCCGGCTTTATCAAAAACAACAACAACAACAACCAT